TGGACACTATTGGTTATATTATACAAACCTTTTTCTTTCTGTTTACAGGGGACCACAGTGTATCCCTCTCTTAACATCTGTTCTGTATGATGAGAGTGAGTGGGAGAAGCCATACAGTTTTTATCCCGCTCACTTTCTGGACAAAGATGGGAAGTTTGTCAAGCGAGATGCCTTCATGCCTTTTTCTGCAGGTTGGTGAATTTAGCCATCACTTCTTAATGTTTGCTTATTTGCAGATTATATGAACATTTTCCTTTGTTGTCTCTCACAGGTCGCAGGGCTTGTCTTGGAGAGAGTCTAGCTAAAATGGAGCTCTTTATCTTCTTCCCCACCCTCCTGCAACACTTTCGATTCTCCCCTGCACCGGGAGTTTCAGAGGATGAACTGGATCTGACTCCACGTGTGGGCTTCACCCTCAACCCTTCACATCATGAACTGTGTGCTGTTTCCTGTATGTGAGCAGTAGGGCTTGAAAAAGCTACCTTGCCCACTGTCCTGACTTCAACTCAACCCAGCAATTAATTCAAGAATAGATTATGCTTAATATAGTGTTATATTGCATATAGTGGCCCTGAAAATGTTCAATATCAATGATGTAATAAATTACATTTTCACTTTGGCTTGATAGGTGACTGAAATTCAAGATTCATATTGAACATTTGACCAAAAAAAATAGATCAAAAATCAAACCAGGCTTTCAGAAATAAATGCTGTCTGTCTTTTCAAAACTACAAAAATATTCTTCAGTTAGTTATTATGTCTGCACTTGATTACATAATATTATGTATCATCAGGTTGCACCATCATTACTTCACCAGCTAAACGCTTTAACAATTCAAAATGTCATACTCATCTCACTGCTCTTTGTATCATAAAGTGATTTCTTTACCTACAAGAAGAAATAATAAGGAAGTTAAAAGTTACAGTGTTATAGGCCTTTGCCATCACTGAGTGAATGTGTGTGAAAGGGTAAATGTGGCACACAGTGTAAGAAGTGCTTTGAGTGGTTGGAAGACTAGAAAGGCGCTATACAAGTACAGGTCCATTTACCATTTACAGTCCATAATTCTGAACTTTAGATATCCCAAATGTATGTGCTGACTTTAGGAAAAGTAGTTTCAGGTCCATTGCAACTTTTAAATGGAATGAATTGCAAACTGCCCTCAAACTGGAAATTTCAAAGCTTTACTATCTTTTTATTACTTTACTACCTTTACTTTCCAGGTAAAACTTTACCTCAGTCAACCCTTTAACCTCTGTACTCTCTTTCTGATCCAAATAAAACATAAACAATGAGTAAGCAAAACCTGGTGTTAACTGATGTTTCAATTATGAAATTAAAAATAATACGGCCCTAACAGCTCGACAGCTGATTTACTCGCATTGATTTTAAACTGGTTTGCAAATATAATATATAATAAAAGGACATTATTTAAAAAAAAATCTTACTGACATTGATTTACTTTGTCACATAATCTTTTACTAGTTGTAAGGAAACGTTTCCACACTGAATGCCCTTTCTGCCCCCTCACCTGTCCTTTTGCCCTCTCTGGCAGCCAAATACAGCCACTCTTTGCCAAAATACACACAGAACTTAAGGCAGCAGGGCAGGAAACTCAGTTCACATTGGATAAGATTTGTTTTTAAATCATAGGCACATGATATACCTCGTCTCCTTCACCAGCTTCCGCTCCGAGGCAGACAGGAGTTAGGGAGTGGATACTCAAACCAAGGTTGATGGGACCCGACGGGCGTGTTCAAACATTTGAACATAAATGTATAAAATATATTTGGGTGGCCTGATAGCTCATCTGGTGGAGCATGTATTGTGACTGAGTCCTTGCCACAGCAGATATATATATATATGGGGAGAGTGGGGTAAGTTGAGCCAAAGGGTAAGTTGAGCCACCCCTTGCTGCTAGGAAATGGTAAAAAACATTGATCATGTGACCAAATATTAGGAGGAAGGCATCATTTCATGGAGTCTGTGAATGTAAGGACCACATGGGTAGTGGTTATTGAGAATTGTGTTTAGACCAAAATTGATAATTTTAAATTAGTTTTATACATCAATTGTGGTATCTATGAGCTACAACATGAGGTCATAAACCTAGCATAAAAGTGCACCATTTTAGCTGTGGGGACTAATAAAGGCAAAGGGGATACGGCTCAACTTACCCCGCTCCTATGCTCAATTTACCCCATATACGGGGTAAATATATATTTACCCCGTAAATATTTGTTGGTGGTTGTCTATATATATATATATATATATATATATATATATATATATAGGCAACCACCAACAAATATTTTTAATAACTAATAGTTCATATTATCAACTTCATTAATGTAATTCTTGCTTTTTATTTATGAAATGATTTAGAAGTATAAGTAGTTCTACTGCAATAATATAATCCATAAGAGGAGCTTTTAAGTTTTTATGTTGGTAACAGGGGGGCACAGTGTATCCTCTCTTGACATCTGTCCTGTATGATGAGAGTGAATAAAAGCACCCACACGACTTTAATCCTGCCCACTTGAGACATTACTGCTGAAATTAAATCACCACATTTTCAAACTTTTGTTACGTTTTGATAGGCATTTCTCTCCTGCACGCAGAGATGGGGCGGCCCAGAGCCATATATATGAATACAAATTGATCCAAAGGGATTTCCTTTGCCCCCTCTCATGTGACACTGTCACACCCAAACTTAGTATTGTTGCTGTTGTGTGAGAGCTGTCTGCATGTCCCTGGTGTGCCCCACATTCTGTTAGCTGTTCCCATTTTCTTGATATCACAACTGATTATGTTAATATCAGAATAAATGACTGATGACAGTGAGGCTGGTGAGCCCAAAAGTAACAGTTTGTGCCTGATCCATCAATGCAAGAGACTGCTACAGTAGCATGATCAACATTTCACATCAATATACATGTTATATATCATATTTATACAATATATAATTATTATATTAATAATATTATATTATTTCGATTACTATTATTATTATTATTATTATATTACATATATACATTATTTTATAAATTGAAAATCAAAACAAAACAAAGCAAAAAAAGCATTATTGTGGCATGTGCAAAAGTTTGAGAGTTCTGCAGGCTTTGTACAAGATCTCAGCTCTTTAGGCCTGAGGCATGTCAACGATTGTCATTAGGAAATATCAGCTGGTGCCAATTTTAAACCCTTTACACATACTGTCACTCTTCAAAGTTTGTGAACACTCACCAAGAATGGGTTCTTCTAAGCAGCTGTGTAAGACTCTGTAAATTAAAGTTATCGGTGCCCACTGATCCACGATGCAGGAGACACAGGAAATCATTGCACAGGTGGAGGATGAATGAATTCCACTAAATACCAGCAAATTCTGGAAGCACAGGCATATGCCATAGTTAAGTTTAAGGTGGGTTTATACAAAAATCAGGACAATTGGGATCTGATTCAGATTAGTCCAACTCTCAATAAGTTAAAACATAAGTAATAAAAAGGTCAAAAGTAAGCAGTCATTTTAGATAACACATGTACACACTTATCTCACATAACAGTCTCACCACAAAGAACACTGACCTGAAAAGACCTAACAGCAAATATTGACTGGTATTTGTGTGGGAACCTTTACACATGTTAACCCCTCTCCTTGAGCTGGCACAAAAGGTATTTATCATTACAATTGTCACAGAGCTGAATACTCTATAACGAAACTAATGTTTTAAGACAATACGTGCTGAAATACTGTTTTTAGTGTACAATTGCAACAAAAGCAAGAGGCAAAACATGGAATCTTCATTAAAGTATAACTGTACTCCTCAATTCTGCAAACTCCATCTTACTCAGCAAAAAAGTAAGAAAAATGCAGCAGGCCACTTTAGGAGGTGTGGCCTCAACACAGACTAGAGTGAGTGACAGTCTGTCCACAGCAGTGTAACAGGAACAATTTATGCAATTCCAATACTGTTTAGGGACCCCAGTATGCATACACTAGGCAAAAAACACACATTTATACTACACGCAAAAAACAGTATGGTTTTTGCCCAAAACTGCATGGATGCAATGCTGCAATAGTGCTTGTGTGCAAAGGGAAGACTCATGGGTACCCATAGAAGCCATTTTTATTTGAGGTCAGAGGTCAAGGGATCCTTTTGGAAATGGCCATGCCAGTTTTTACATCACCAAACTGTAGCCTAAAGCATTATTTAGCTCCCTTCCCGACATGCATGACACGGTAAGACATTAGACTAAGATTAGGCCATCTAGTTCCGTATGATACCAGTATATTTACTGGCTTTAAAAAGGAGTCAACTACAGCCTCTGAAAGACTGTGTTCAGTACACAATTTAAACAACAGCAGGAGGCAAAACTGCACACAACACTTCTGCTTGCTCCCTCCCTCCCGCCAAATGAAAATAATGCATGAGAGACCTGCAAAGGACAGGTACTTCAGGAGGCGTGGGCTTGACACAGACTGGAGTGAGTGACAGACTGGCAGCAGCAGTGTAGCAGTAGCAAGTGAATAATGTCCGGTGGTGTTTCTTCAGTCGTCAAAAGCAGAAGTCTTAAACGCTACACCAAAATAGAAAAATACTAATAGAAACTAACAAAAACTCCTGTGAATGATGCATCTCGATCTGCATGTATTTAAAAATGAGGGCAGCTGCCCTCAGTGTATGAATGTGCGTGATTGGGTGAATGTGACATGCAGTGTAAAGTGCTTTGAAGTCTAGAAAGATGCAATATGAGTGCAGTCCATTTACCATTTACTTTGTCCTCCTCTGTTTAGAGATAGAGATAGATTTGTATAGGATTGTCACCATATAAACTGTGTGGATCCCAGGAAGAATAGCGACTGTTATACAGAAGCTAAAGCGGATCCTAATAAACAAAAAAACCACACACCCACGCACAGTTAAATAGTGATAATGATAGTTAAACATTACACAACAAATGTGGCTATTTTGTCCCTCCCCTTTGGCTGTTACATAAGACATCCCTCTTCAGAAAAGTAGTCACCAAGCTGAAGCCTCAGGAATATTCATATATTTTGTTTTTTTAGGTCATGGGGATATTAGATCTTTTTCTCCAGTCCACCACTTATGTCTCCCTGCTGGGGGGTCTGGTGGTCCTGCTTCTCCTCTACCTCATCTCCTTCTCCAGCTTCAGCTCCCGGGCTCACAAGAAAGAACCTCCAGGACCAAAACCACTTCCCCTGCTCGGCAACCTGCTCCAGCTAGACCTCAAGAGACCCTATAACACATTAATGGAGGTGAGGAAGTGACTGGAATGTTTTATGGTAATTTATTATGTCTGCTCTCCAAGCAGCAACACTGTTACAATAATAGTCATATCACATTTTCTGCCTTCACATGTTTTTGTTGTATATGTATAAAAAAAACATAATGACAATATACAACTGTTTTTAGCTTTCTAGGAAATATGGATCACTGTTCACTGTGTATTTTGGACCCCAAAAAGTGGTGGTTCTGGCTGGGTACAAGACAGTGAAGGAGGCACTTGTCACATATGCAGATGACTTTGGTGAAAGAGATCCAATGTTAATAGCAGAAGAAACTAATCACGGCCATGGTAAGGAAAGAATAAAAAGAGATAATAATTTTCCTGTTTTGTTAACTTTCTGCAAAGGTTTATTATTTACCCATTATCAGTCTTTTCATTTAAAAACATATTTAATCTCAGGGGTTTTATGGTCCAATGGTGATTCATGGAAAGAGATGAGGCGCTTTTCTATAACTAACCTCAGAGACTTTGGCATGGGCAAGAGGGCATGCGAGGACAAAATCATTGAGGAATGTCAACACCTCATGGAAGTGTTTAAGAATTTCAAAGGTAAATGTTCTTTTTTTTAAATCAAATGTGTGATTACCTACTTTTGGGATGTAAAAAAAAAAATTGCTGGGATTTTCATTTTTTTTTTTTTTTTCCATGTTAAAGGAAAAGCCTTTGATACGAGCCAATCAATGAACTATGCAGTCTCTAATATTATCTGCTCCATGGTCTATGGCAGCAGATTTGAATACGATGACCCACAGTTTACAACTATGGTAGATCAAACAAACAAAAGAGTTCAACTTGTGGGGACCCCATCTATACAGGTATCGATCACTATTTTTATGGAGTTTTTAGAGTAGTGACTTTAATATTAAATACATGATAAATACATTGTATTAATTGCACATAGGAAAAAGTTTCAGTTTGGTAAGAACCTTTTTTACTTAACAGATGTACAACTGGTTCCCATGGATCTACAAATGGGTTGCTAACAGAAAAGAAGTCCTACAGATCACCGACTTTGTCACCAAACAAAACTTAGAGCTGTTCAGTCGTTTGAAGGAGACCCTCAATCCACAGATGTGTAGAGGCTTTGTGGATGCCTTTCTAGCCAAAAAGCTAAATCTGGAGGTTTGGATGCTTCTATTATCTTATATATCATATATTATTGTTTATATTATTTCTAATTAGGATTTAAAACATCATATTTGAATTGATTTGTTAATGTTGGAGATTTGGTTCTTTGAGAAATTTTATTATCATTTTTTTTGCATTTTGTGGCCACCGTAGTTTCTCCCATGCACTTGGAAAGGTTGGATAAAACAAGTGAGATGCAATCTGAAACTTCACCACAGAGATGCCACTAAATCTTACACGCTGGTCCTTTTTCAATTTTGTCCTGTCACTGCAAATTTGATCAATCATTGAAGCTGCAAGGAAAATGTCTGCACCTGAAATGAAATCAGGGATGAAGAGAATAATTTTCACTACTTCTGGTTTTAGGGAGGATTAAAACATCAACCAAATAATCTAATTTTGCCATAAATTATATCTATACAACCATATATTTAAAAGAAATTGACAAATGAAAGTTGCTTTCTAACTCTGGCTCAGTGTCAGAAACCAAACTTCGCAAAAACAAAAACAAAAAAACTAGCTGAACGTCTGACTGTGGGACTTCCAGCTCTGGTGTTTCATTTGTGTTTGCCATAGCACTAACTAACTTACACACCGATCAGCTTGCTGTGCTGTGCTATGTACAGCTATAAGTCTGGATCATATTTTTATATCTATATCTGCAGGAGTCTGGGATTACTAACAGTCACTTCCATGATGATAATCTCATGTTGACAGTCCTGAATCTGTTTGCTGCTGGCACTGATACGACAGCAACTACTCTCAGATGGGCACTTCTGCTTATGGCCAAGTATCCAAAAATACAGGGTAAGATATAGATATGCACATCTCACTCACTTAAACACACAATCCAAGCTATATGCTTTACCAACACAAAAATCATCATAATCAGAAAAACATGGCTTTATTGGCCGGACACTATGCAGGCAATGTGGATAAAAGACATAAAGGACAGACTAATTGATGACCAATGAAATTACTGTTCTATCCTCATTCCTCTTTCATCTCCCAGACCAGGTCCAGGAGGAGCTGAGCAGGGTGATAGGAAGTCGTCAGGTGCAGGTCGAGGACAGGAAGAACCTGCCCTTCACTGACGCTGTCATCCATGAGACACAGAGACTGGCCAACATCGTCCCTATGGCAGTGCCACACAGAACCAGCCGAGACATCACTTTCCAGGGTTACTTTATTAAGAAGGTCTGAATTAAATAATTCATATGAAGGATTAAACCCACAAATATTTTAGAAATTACAAAATACATTTACGATTAAAATTACAATAAAGCTAATTTAAAAAGAGTATAGTGTGCATATTTTTTTCACACTTAAACATGTTAACTTAAGGCTGACTTACTTATAAATTTACCATTAACCATGCATTGTGTGCACATTTTGCCCCTGGTCATTGTTAAGAGGTCTCATTTAGTCCTTCATACACATCTTCATATTCAACAATAAATGTGGCAATTAAACAGAATGGAGCAGGGCTCCTTAAAACACTTTTGTGCAGTTTGAAAATAATGCTATTATATGCTAGAATATAGAAAAGCCTTTTAATTTCTGTATCATCAACAGGGGACCACTGTGTATCCTCTCTTGACATCTGTCCTGTATGATGAGAGTGAGTGGGAGAGCCCACACACCTTTAATCCTTCCCACTTCCTGGACAAAGATGGAAAGTTTGTCAAGCGAGATGCCTTCATGCCTTTTTCTGCAGGTTTGTGAGCTCAGCCATCACGTTTTGTTGATGTTCAGTCGTCGGGCAGTTGGCCTGACTTTTTTTCTTTCTTTATTTTCTCTTGCAGGTCGCAGGATATGTCTTGGAGAGAGTTTGGCCAGGATGGAGCTCTTCGTCTTTTTCGCCACTCTCCTGCAGCACTTTCGCTTCACTCCCCCGCCCGGAGTTTCAGAAGACCAACTGGATCTGACTCCACGTGTGGGCTTCACTCTCAACCCTTCACCTCATAAACTGTGTGCTGTCCCCTGTATGTGAGGAGGAGGACTTGGACCTGTGTTAGATTTATCTCAGTTTCATGCTAAAGAGTAGAGTGTAATTCGTATAAGTGCTCTTCCAATGCATTGCCACAATAGTGAATATGTTCAAAACCACACACCGAATATATATATATATATATATATATATATATAAACTATAAATATATATATATATATAAACTAAAACTAAGCTATATCAGCCTTAAGGTAGTTTAAAGAGGCTCACTGTGTCAGTAGTATCTGTTCTTGCTCTTCCTTCCTTCCCCTGCATACCTATGCATGTGTACTGATTTCACACAAGTGTATGTTTTTATGTGGAATAAAGAGTTGGGAGTGGAACTTAAGGTTTTATGCATGCATGCAACAGAACCAATAAAAAGTTGTGCTATAATTAATTGTAAATTGTAATCCGGGTTTGGAGGGTAACTTTAAAAATTTAATCCGATACAGTTAGTAATTACATGTTAAAAAATGTAGTCAGTTATCTAATCTAAGTATCACAATATTAAAGTAATGTAACTCGATTGCTTTCCGCTACTTCTTGATTAACTCAACACCAAATATGTAAAAAAAAAAAAAGACAAAGTGAAAGTGAAAATGGAAACTGAAGATTGTAAGCATCAAAAATGTGTCCTAAATAATCCTAATTTTTTACTAAATGTAACTTTAATCTGATTATGTCTATTTTCTGTAACTGTCCTGGATTGCAGTTACTTTTTTTGTATTCTGATTACATGTAATCCGTTACTCCCCAAACCTGGTTGTAGTATGGAAGTTGTCCTCAAACACTCTCCTCCCTCAGGGAGGTCACGGCACTGGGTTAGCTAGTAAACAAAATAATCAGTGATCAAATTCCTTTAACATCAGACAGGATTCAAATGAAATGAGGATTTCTGAAAAGCAGCTGGGTTTCATCCAAACAGATACTGCCCTTTTGCCCAAAGAACCTCTCTGATCTGTGTGTGTTCAAACTTTTATTTTAATCACATCTGGCTGCAGTTTTGTGGACTGATTGAAAAGGTAACACTTTATATTGAGGTTCTTGTAAGAAGTATTAATTAATAGGTAATAATGGCCTTATAAGATGCTTATTAACAATAATATATGTTAATTAAAGATCACAAACCACTTACAATAAAAGTGTTAACGGTTTAAATTCTGCTCATGTCTTTCCTGTATTTTGTGTTATAGAATAGTTTGTTGCGCTGAATTTGAACCCTGACCTTTGCGGCATGGCCTCGGTACATGGGGCACACTCTACCAGGTGAGTTACTCAGGCAACCCATGCTACCTCATACAGCTACTGGGTCTATAGCGAGAACAATGCCCCATAAATACTTAGTAAGAGTTACAGATGTCACTGGTTTTATTTGACGGTATTGCTGCCGCGTTACCGTAGAGATGACGCAGCGGTAAAAGAGGAGACTGCAGTTGATAACTGTAGAATTTAGGTGGCAGCAGAGTACTCGAATCCTGATGACAGGATTTTACTATAAACCCCCTTTTCAGTGGTAAAGTGGCACTGTCTGTGTTTCCACTGGTTGAGTCCAGGGGATGTGGAGCTGTGGAATGGGATGCATTTATTTCTATGACTACAAAAGAAAGACTTTTTATTTTGGTTGACATTTAACTTTAAAAGCTCTTCTGTAAACTACGTCAAATAAACTAAATGCAAAACATCGTTTTACTGTTTGACATGAAGAAACACAGGGTTGGAGTTAAAATCTGAGCGCTGTGAGTATCTCTAAAATATTGAATCTCAGAGATGTTAGATGAGTAAATAACTGCACTTTCCTTGAGAGAAAGAGAGACTTCACCGTTTACTTACTTCTTGAAGTTACTGCTTTATTACTACTTGCAATAATTGTAGAAAGTCAGTTGCAATAAGCTGAAACTGCCCTGTGATATTGCAACAGAGTTTCAATAGACCGAAACAGCCCCCTCAGCCCCCTCAGCCCAATGAGCCTGAAGGCACTGGCAACAGAAAAGAGAGGGAGCAGCCCTGTGAGCCCAGTTCAACTGTTGGTCAATATTTCTAAAAAGCAGGGACAGATTTAGTAACGATTTATATGAGAAATATATGCAACTAGATTATATTGGAATCTTCTCCCTCTCCCTCTCTCCGTGCTTGCATGCAGCAGTAGGTTTGGTGGTTGGGGTTGCAGGTTTGAGCAGAGACGTTTCTCCCTCATGTTTTCTCTCTGGATTAAATTGTTCCTATAGCTTGTAGAAAACATTTTGATGGTTTATTTGATCTTTTCCCTCCCTTCTCTATAAAACATAACACCAAATAGGCTTTCGAAGAAAATTAAGTCTTGAAAATATGTGTTGTCAGAGACCAAAAGTCAGGATATTTTGGCCTCTACAGTGTCGATCTGAACCCATTCTTTTTAAAATCAATTTCCTCTGTTTTTAATTGACGGAGTTGCACTGTACATTAAGTGACTTATTCCAACTAAATAAAAATTGGCTCAAAATGACACAACCTGAATGAGTCTTCTTTCATTTAGATCCACATGAAAGATGCATAATGAATGAGATGGCACAGGAGCATGTAGTAATAAAATAAATCAAATATGTATTCAGACCTTTGGGCCGTGTTCTCAGTGTACATTGGAACTTGTTCCAAACACCCACAGAGGCAAACGCAGTAGAAGAGAGAGCTTTCATCGTCACTGCAGTGGCAAAAAAGACAGACTTTTTTACAGCAATGGAGATATTTGATCTTTTTCTCCAGACCTCAAATTCTGTCTCCCTGTTGGGAGCTCTGATAGTCCTGCTGCTCATCTACCTATTCTCCTCTTCCAGCTTCAGCTCCCAGGGTAAAGAGAATGAACCTCCAGGACCAAAACCTACCTTCTCTTTTGTCATCTATCCCTTGTCAAACGCTTGCAGGTTTGTGAACTCAGCCATCACATTTTGTTGATGTTCAGTTTACTCACAGAGGACCTGAAGTTTATCCTTTTCCTAATTTGCAGGTCGCAGAGCTTGTCCCGGAGAGAGTCTGGCCAGGATGGAGCTCTTCATCTTTCTCACCACCCTCATGCAAAAAACTTTCCTTTCACTCCTCCACCTGGAGTGTCAGAGGATGAACTGGACCTGACTCATTGTGTGGGCCTCTCCCTCAACCCTCCACCTCATAGACTGTGTGTCGTATCCTGTATGTGAGAAGGAGGGCTTGAAAATGCTCCTCTCGTGTCACTCAAATTGTCCACTGATGTATAGGCTTTGAGAAAATGTATGCCTAGGTCGAATTCCTGCTTTAAAATGAATCACAACCAAGCAATGGACTTTCATTCTTTCTATTATACTAATCATTCTTTTTATGCTTGCAGATCTTTTTGAATCAGTGATTACATGTCCAGTGATCTGATAAGAGACATTATAGAGACAAAACATGCAATCTTCATTAACTGTATGTTGAAATAATTTAAAACCATTTCATTAAGTGTAACAAAAAATCTTTAAAATACCCTAAATTTCATGCAGTTGCATTATACTGATCCTTCCCATGTTCAAGACTTTAGCTCACTCACTTAATAAATCTATGTAATTTTATAAAAAATAAAATCTATGGTACAAACTGTTCTTTCTGGCAACAACAAGGACACAGATCTTTTTACAGCAATGGAGTTTCTTCTCCAGTCCTTCAGTTCTGTCTTCCAGTTAGGGGCTCTGGTGGTCTTACCTTGTCTCGACCTCTATGCGTGTGTGTCTATTTCTATATTTTAGTTTAATAAGTTTACAATACATACTCAAAACAGAATAAAAAATGCACCACAAAGACAATATGGATGTGTAAGCATGTTGAAGTCCAGCCTACAAATACAGTTGCGAATATCTGACCTGTCCAGGTTAAACTTCAACCACTATTGACAGTTTTGAGTCTTCTCTCCATAAACCACATAAAAGATTAACAATGAATAAGATGACACAGGAGCATGTAGTGACACTGGCCCAGCAGCAAGGATTTCAAATTAGTTTACTGATAATACTTAACTTTGTCAGAAAATTATTTACCACTTAGAGGGGAAAGGTTTACTCCATGAATACCCTTACCACTCTTACTTCTGCCTTTAACCCATCTGGCAACCAAAAAATCTTTAGCTATATTTAATGCAACACTGCAGGGAACTTTCCACGCCTGCAGTACTGTCCACCTGTTGGGAACTTGCATTTCCAATTGCAAACTGATTGCACCATCGGATCAAATTTCAACGAACGCTGACCTAAAAATTACGCAAGAGCAAAGACTCACTAGTGTTGTTTAACGTCAGTGTATATTTTGAACTTTGGGCTGTGTTCTCATTTTACAGCCACAGAAGCCATTTATCTTTTTTAAAACAGCAACAGAGCCAAACGCAGCAGGTCAGGGAACTTTTCACTGCAGTGGCAACAAACAAATACAGATTTTTTTCCAGTAATGGTGATATTAGATCTTTTTCTCCAGTCTTCCAGTGCTGTGTCAATCTTAGGAGCTCTAGTGTTCCTGCTTCTTGTCTACCTATTCTCCTCTTCGAGTTTCCGCTTCCAGGCAAAAGAGAATGAACCTCCAGGACCAAAACCACTTCCCCTGCTGGGTAACCTGCTGCAGATGGACCTCAAGAGACCCTACAACACATTACTGAAGGTAAGGAGTTTGCTGGAGTAGGTTTTTATTTAGCTTTTGTCTTCTGTCTAGGCAGGTATACTATCAGCAGTTCTATCACGTTGTATACTTTCTCCAGTGTGTGTGTGTTAAGCAAGAAAATGTCTTGACAGTGTGCCCCTTTTGTTAGCTTTCCAAGAAATATGGGTCAGTGTTCACCGTCTATTTGGGACCCAAGAAAGTGGTGGTCCTGGCAGGATACAAGACAGTGAAGGAGGCTCTTGTCAACTACGCTGATGAGTTTGGAGACCGAGATCAAATTCTAATTTTGCATGAATTTACTCAGGGAAATGGTAAGCAAATAAAGAACAAAGCTATAATTCAACTATTTTGTTATTGATGCTTAGCAAATATGTACAATATATCCTTTATTTATAAGTTTTAAAAATTTGTTTCAACTCAGGTGTTACATGGTCTAATGGCGATTCATGGAAAGAGATGAGGCGCTTTGCCTTAACTAACCTGAGAGACTTTGGGATGGGCAAGAAGGCCTGTGAGGACAAAATCATTGAGGAATGTCACCAACTCATTGAAGTGTTAAAGAAGTTCAAAGGTAAATGGCATATTTTATCTAACTATAGCAACAGTTTGAGTACAAAGTTATTTAATCTTTTATTTTTCCCTTCTTGCAGGTAAAGCTTTTGATATGGCCCGACCAATAAACTATGCAGTCTCTAATATTATCTGCTCAATCACCTATGGCAGCCGATTTGAATATGATGACTCAGAGTTTACATCCCTCGTGGATCGGACAAACAGAAACATGCATCTTTTGGGGACTCCGTCAGTACAGGTATCATTTCTTATGTTTCTGAAGTTTATACCTTCAGCATTGTAATTCAAATATTACCATGACACAAAAAAAGGTTTGATTTTTGACTTACCTTGTTATAGGCCTACGTTATTTTAAATGCTAATACATATATATTTTTGACAGATGTACAACTTGTTCCCGTGGCTCTGCAAATGGATTGCCAATCGGAGGGAATACCGCAGATTGTTTGCTGCCAACAGGAAACAGAATTTAGAGCTGTTCAGGCATTTGAAAGAGACCCTCAATCCACAGATGTGCAGAGGCTTTGTGGATGCCTTTCTGGCTCACAAGCAAAATCTTGAGGTTAGGAAACATATAACTTATCAAATTTTAAATGATGGAACGATGTGACTTATATACATGTTATGTTGTTGGGAGGAAGGGACCAAAAAGCAAAGAATCAGTTGTAATAATATGTGCTGTGAAAAAGGCCTGTCTAGGACACTAACAGGTGAAAAACTGCTGATCTTTATATGCAGAAATCTGGGATTACCAACAGTCACTTCCACAGTGAAAATCTTATGATGACAGTCATTCAGTTGTTTGCTGCTGGCACTGATACAACCGCAGCCACAATCAGATGGGGACTTCTTTTTGTGACCAAATATCCAAAAATACAGGGTAAAGAGCTGTAAATGTGCACAGCTTTCATAAAAAATGTCTAAGTTACACAAAATTCTTGTCATAAAATCAA